ACAACTTCGAGCTTAGTGCTCCCAACAACTACCGGCATAGGTGTGACATGGACATTAAACATAATCTTTGTTTTGTCCATGTTCATCTTAAGACCTATCCGTTTGGAGACACTATTGAGGTCATTGAGCATAGTGCTTAGGTCATCCAGCGATTCTGCCATAAGGACTATATCGTCGGCAAATCGAAGGTGAGTGATGTACTCGCCATTGATGTTAATACCGTATCCTTTCCAGTCCAGAAGTTTGAAAACGTCTTCCAATGCAGCGGCGAAGAATTTCGGGGATATAACATCACCCTGTCTTACACCTCTCTGCAATTGGATAGGTTTCGTACTCTGGTTCTATACTCGGATAGCCATCATAGCTATACTGTACAAACACTTCAGCACTTCGATATACCGACAGTCAACTTGGCACCGCTGACGGGACTGCAGCACCGCCTAAATTTCGACGGAATCAAAGGCTTTCTCATAGTCCACATACGCCAGACATAGTGGCAAATTGTACTCTTCGGACTTCTGTAAAATTTGCCGAAGGGTATGTATGTGGTCTATGGTGCTAAAGCCCTTTCGGAAGGCTTGTTCGGGAGGCTGGAAGTCGTCAAGTCTGCGCGCGAGACAATTCGTAATGACTCTCGAAAACAGCACGTAGACGCGGCTCAGAAGGGAAATCGGTCTGTAGTTCTTCAAGAGAGCGTTGTCATCTTTCTTGAAGAACAAGACCACCGCACTTCTGCTCCACGCCTCCGGTGTAATGCCACCATGGAGGACGGAATTAAAGAGCTTCTGAAGGACTTCAAGTACCGGTCTTCCACCCGCTTTCAGAAGCTCCGCTGTAATTCCATCCTCGCCTGGGGCCTTGCCGTTTTTAAGGTGCTGGAGAGCCATTCTAATCTCGCTCAGACTGACGTCCGGGATATCTTCGGAATAGTGTCGGATGAGACTCGCTCTTGGATCGTTACTCACACTTGCGTATGGCTCCAACGATGACGTGTACAGCTGCTCATAAAATCTCTCAATCTCACTCAAAATCTCAGGTGTCTCGGAAACGATACTGCCACATTCGGTCTTCAGCTTTGACAGTTGGCTCTTTCTGGCACACAGATCTTTGGCAAAGACTTTGGAGCCTTGGTTCCGCTCGATCGCTTCTTCAATACAAGCTGTATTGAAGTTGCGTAAGTCCCGCCGCACGCATTTGGAGATCTGTCTGTTCAGTTGCCTGTATGCTGTCAAATCTGTTGAAGAATGTAGCTTCATCTCTCGTCTAACAGCCATGAGATTAAGAGTGTGATCGGAGAGTTTTTGTGTTCTTCTGCGTCGGGTCTTGCAGAACTTAGCTCCGACCGCATGGACAGTTTCCACGAGCTTGTCATTCATATCGTCCACTTCATTGCAGTCTTCTAGGCACTGAAAACGGTTTTGTAACTCAAGCTGAAAAGTTTCGAGACCTTGGAACAGAGCACGAGGGGGACGGAACGTTGACTTCATTAGACGCGACCTCTCCAACTTAACGTTTAGCTTCAGTGTGCCTCTAACCATTCGGTGATCGCTACTAGTTTTCACATAATGCATAGGAAAGTATATAAGATACTTATAACAAAAAAGACATTTTTAAAATTTTTGTCTGTCTGTCTGTTTGTTCCGGCTAATCTTTGAAACGGCTGGACCGATTTCGACGGGACTTTCCTGGCAGATAGCTGATGTTATAGGGAGTAACTCCGGCTACTTATATTTTACAGAAAGAATAAGGGTTCCGCGCAACATAATTAAAACCCTAAATTACACGCGGGCGAAGTCGCGAGGAACAGCTATTATATGACTAAAAATAAATATACGCTTGCTTTGTATAGGCGCCATATTTCATTACGTATAACCGCGTACCTTACCTATGACCGCTGATGTTAGAGAGAGTAAATAAGACGCGAGAACGAGGAATTTATTTTTATTGTATCGATGTATTGGTATCAGTATCAATACCGATATTCTAATTTCCAAGTATCAATATTATTGTACTGAAATAAAATATCGATACCGGTATCGATAAATCGATACCTAAATAACAGTACGAATATCGATAACCCGATATCGATACTTGCAAAATATCGGTATTACAGTCCCTGGTCACGGCAGTATTCGGATGGCGGATTCAAACCCACAATCTTTTGAGTTCGCGATCCACACCCTGCCAATGGGCTACTGTCACTTATTACACTGTATTCTATCTCTTTCACTGGCAGGCTAATTCCTATAGATGTCTAAGTTTTTGTTTTTAGTGTCGTTATAGCACTTCATATTAGATTGTGGTGTCGCTTTATCGTTTCATCGGATTTCAAATCACCACGAAAAAAATAAGTTTTCACTTCAAAAATATTTACTTACCTATGTACCTATATATATTATTAAGATAATGCACTATTAAACTGCAGCTAACAGCTATTTTTGATTAAATTGTTAAAACATAAGGTAAAGCGCACATAGGTAAAAAATAGATCAACAACAATCGGCAACAATCTATAATTGTGAAATGAATGACTGGCATTTGACTTTTGTCTTACTTAAGGCCCCACTACCAAATTAGTTAGATCTATGGTCACGCCAAAGAGTATAGTAGGTCAGGCGAAAGACAATTTTTTTTAAATGAAGGTAAATATAACTTAGAGTCATTACTAAGTTCTTATACAAATATAAAAAATATAAAATATCGCATTATTTGTATGAAAGTCAATTGAGCGCTAGAGAAACGACGATTGCAAGTGGCGGCGTATGAATATTCATACCATCCCGTGGGTCTCGTAAGAGGCGACTAGACTTAGGATTATTTTTAAATAACCGTAACCGTCGTTCCGGTTACCAAAAATCATTATGACTTTGTCACGTTGATAAAGTTGGATAACTACTTGGAACATTAGAACGACTTACAACGTGACTTTATATATGCAATTTAGATTTAGTATTAGGTTTTATTTCAGTATTCAATTTTTTATTACCTTCCTTACTTAAGCTACGTGGCTATGTTATAAGTTGTATGTTACAAATTATTTCATCATCTTTCATCATTACAGCCTTTCATAAGTCCCCTGCTGAACATAGGCCTTCCCCAAGGAATGCCACAAAGCACGGTCCTGAGCCACCTGCATCCATCGACTTCCTGCATATCTTACCAGTTCGTCACTCCATCTCGTGGGGGGTCGCCCTACTCTTCACCTACCGGTACGAGGCTTCCACTCAAGAACCTTTCTTCCCCATCGGTTGTCGGTTCTTCGAGCTATATAGATATAAGTAGGTAGATATAAGTTAGATGAATAACTAATTTTATTTCTAGAAAATTGTATTGATGTCCAACGTCCACGACAGCGAAATATGATAGTACGAACGGGACATTTATACAAAAATACCAAGACGAGTACAAAAATAAACATAAATCAAAATATTTATCTTTGTACTGACTAATTTAGTTACCAATAAACAAATTCAGCAATTGTTAATGGAATATTTTCCTACAAATTATTGTGTGTATTTTATTTAATTCTGACCTAGAGATTTAGAGTGAATTGACGGTTCTCATACCTAGCCTAATTTGTAGCATTTTGACTCCCTTATCATGCTATGCCAGGAAGTTGTCGAGTTCCCACTAACCCCGTATAATATGGTTTTTAACGGGAGAGTAAATTAATTAGATTTTTGTATTTGATTAATAAACATCGTTTCATAAATTCGTACCTATGTTTTATTGAGCTAAAACATACCTTATAATTTTTGCTTACCTAATATTTACTAATACTTACATAATCAAATTAATAACTTAAGTACAATAACGCATAAGCGTCAATTTTACGCTTCGCATAATGGGCATTGAGCGATACGCGCGCTCTATACCTTGCCTATTTGTACTCTAAGTTCTGAATACTCTTTATCTATTGTTCTAAGGGGTCCCTTCTTAATTTAATTAAATTATTATATACTCTTTGGAGGGGTTCATAACTTTGACAAGTAAGGGTGGTTTTGGCGGGAACTTGACCGGCGGCGGTTTGCTGCTCGTGTTTTATTGTTTAAATAATGGTTTGAAGTGGACTTTGATATGTAAAAGTGGTGCGATTTTGTGTATTAAGTGTCTGCGCATGTGAACTATTAGTGGAAACTGTGAAACAAGTGCTCTGATGGTGATGTGATTCTCAAAATAAGGTGCCTGTCTGCTTAGGCACCTTGAGATACCATCGCCAACCGTCAGCTGTCTGCTGACTCAAGTTACTGTCATACATCGCGGCAGAACTCCCGATACCATCCACACCATCTGGATGATTGGCGGTCCACCACTGTGCGATTTAGAAGATGTTTTCTTCCTCGCACAACTTCCTTGTGGAATAGTTTACCACCAGGGATTTTTCCGGACCGATACGACTTAGGGACCTTCAAGAAAAGAGCCTACTCCTTTTTAAAAGGCCGGCAACGCATCTGCAATTCCCCTGGTGTTGCGGTTGTTCATGGGCGGCGGTAGTCACTTACCATCAGGTGAGCCGCATGCTCGTTTGCCACCCTCTCCTATAAAAAAAAAAATCTCCCAAGGGCTGCACAATGTGATGCATCAACATATTGTGAAGCAGTATATTATGAAGAATGATTATTATAATATAATATTGTTACTTCAGGCTTAGAAGGGCTAGATCCCAGAGCAGTAAAGCCAGTTATTAAGAAGAAGATTTGACAAGTAAGGTTTTTGGCGGGAACATGACCGGCGGCGGTTTGCTGCTCCTGTATTATTGTTCAAATATTGGTTTGAAGTCACAGGGGGTAATCTATGTTTGAAGTGGACTTTGATATGTAAAAGTGGTGCAATTTTGTGTATTAAGTGTCTGCGCATGTGAACTATTAGTGGAAACTGTGAAACAAGTGGTCTGATGGTGATGTGATTCTCAAAATAAGGTGGGTGTCTGTCTGCTTACGATTGAGATACCATCGCCAACCGTCATCTGTCTGCTGGCTCAAGTTGCCGCTTGCCGTCAAAATCTCCCAAGGGCTGCACAATGTGACGCATCAACATATTGTGAAGCAGTATACTATGAAGGATAATTATTATAATATATTGTAACTTCAGGCTCTGAAGGGCTAGATCCTAGAGCCGTAAAGCCAGTTATTAAGAAAAGAAGAATTTGACAAGTAATAAATCCAAATGGATTTTTCGAGCTTTGAGCTTTGACAAGGTTTTAATATATTTTTTTTTACTCGAAAACATATAAATCCATTTGATAATATTTTTATATTTTTCATATAAATTTGCTTGAAATGTTATCCAATCTTGAAGGTTTCATAATAAATGCTATTTCATGAAAAAGCTTTTGCACTTTTGAGTAGTATTATGGTAAAATACAACAGGACGAATATATTCTCGAGGAAGGTACTTCTTGATTATATAATATTTATTACTTCCTGAATTCCACCGAATATTTCGTACAAGCTGATAAAGAAAAAAAGAAAGGTATATGTGTGTGTGTGTGTGAGTCAAGAAGTTCAGATCTGAAAGTGATTTCTTTCTACCTTTTTGCTCAAAGAACTGTTGTTTATAACAAATGGCGATTAGGAAAGGTATACAGAAATTAAACATTTAGATTAAAGAAAAAATAAAAAAAATATAACAACATATCTTTTATGTAATCACGGATGGGAAGTATGATGGGAAATATTGGAGAATAATTATTAAGACAATATTTAATAGTTTAAAAATTCAAAAAATTGATAACAGCAAAAATTAAGTCTAAAACATAATATTAGGGTAAATTTAATATGGTATGCTAAGCACCATTTTAAATTTTCATTTTTTATTTTATTTAAAGATCCTTTGAGAGTTTATTTTGTAAAGGCAAATGCATAAGGCCCCAGGCGAGGATGGAATTACAGCGGAGCTTCTGAAAGCGGGTGGAAGACCGGTACTTGAAGTCCTTCAGAAGCTCTTTTTCCATGGTGGCACTACACCGGAGGCGTGGAGCAGAAGTGCGGTGGTCTTGTTCTTCAAGAAAGGTGACAACGCTCTCTTGAAGAACTACAGACCGATTTCCCTTCTGAGCCGCGTCTACGTGCTGTTTTCGAGAGTCATTACGAATCGTCTCGCGCGCAGACTTGACGACTTCCAGCCTCCCGAACAAGCCGGTTTCCGAAAGGGCTTTAGCACCATAGACCACATACATACCCTTCGGCAAATTGTACAGAAGTCCGAAGAGTACAATTTGCCACTATGTCTGGCGTATGTGGACTATGAGAAAGCCTTTGATTCCGTCGAAATTTGGGCGGTGCTGCAGTCCCTTCAGCGGTGCCAAGTTGACTGTCGGTATATCGAAGTGTTGAAGTGCTTGTACAGTAGGGCTACGATGGCTATCCGAGTACAGAACCAGAGTACGAAACCTATCCAATTGCAGAGAGGTGTAAGACAGGGTGACGTCATATCCCCGAAACTCTTCACCGCTGCATTGGAAGACGTTTTCAAGCTTCTGGACTGGAAAGGATACGGTATCAACATCAATGGCGAGTACATCACTCACCTTCGATTTGCCGACGATATAGTCCTTATGGCAGAATCGCTGGAGGACCTAAGCACTATGCTCAATGACCTCGATAGTGTTTCCCAACGGATAGGTCTTAAGATGAACATGGACAAAACAAAGATCATGTTCAATGTCCATGTCACACCTATGCCGGTAGTTGTTGGGAGCACTAAGCTCGAAGTTGTTGACGATTATGTTTACCTGGGACAAATAGTCCGACTAGGTAAGTCCAACTTCGACCGAGAGGTCAATCGACGGATTCAACTCGGCTGAGCAGCGTTCGGGAAGCTACGACACATCTTCTCGTCAGACATACCTCAAAACCTGAAAACGAAATTGTACAACCAGTGCGTGTTGCCAGTGATGACTTATGGAACTGAGACGTGGTCCTTCACTGCTGGCCGTATGAGGAAGCTCAAGGTCGCTCAGCGAGCTATGAAGAGGGCTATGCTCGGAGTTTCTCTGCGTGATAAACTTAGGAATGAGGATATCCGCAGTAGAACCAGAGTAACCGACATAGCCCAACGGATTAGTAAGCTGAAGTGGCAGTGGGCCGGCCATATAGCTCGAAGAACCGACAACCGATGGGGAAGAAAGGTTCTCGAGTGGCAGCCTCGTACCGGTAGGCGAAGTGTAGGGCGTCCCCCCACGAGATGGAGTGACGACCTGGTAAGACATGCAGGAAGTCGATGGATGCAGGTGGCTCAGGACCGTGCTTTGTGGCATTCTTTGGGGGAGGCCTATGTTCAGCAGTGGACTTGTGAAGGGCTGTAATGATGATGATGAATGATGAAATGCATTATAAATTTTCTCATTTTCTACCGGTTTCAAAAAGGAAGAGGTACTCAATTCGACTATGTTCTTTATGTGTGTTACCTCATAACTCTTCTGGGTGATCTGATTTCGATGACTTTTTTTTATTTCAAAGCTAGTGCTTCTCTTGTGGTCCCATAATAGTTTGATCAAGGTCTGACCAATAGTTTTTGAGTTATTTTTTATAATTTATATTGAAACCGGTTGTACAAAATTAGTAACTTTAAATTATTAAATGACAAAGTAGTTGTCATTGTGTATGCTCTACAAATAGTTGTTCCAGTTCTGGGTGTTTTATATTCACAATAAAGAAGCAATTCCTAGGCAAGTAATGGCTTTTTAACAGTGTATTGGCAGTGTAAGAATATCTGCTAGCTGTGGTTGCTAACCCATCTGTCAAGTGTGGGAACTATGGCAAATATCCCCCTAAAGGCAATCTATCAGGGAGTCCTGTGCTTAGTAGTGGACTTTTGATAGGCTGTAATGGTAATTTTAATGTATTTTCACCTTCTTGAACTCAAGTGTATTTATTATACAATAGGTCATTTAAGGAGATGTTTAGATATTCAATAACATTGAATGATAACTTTTTCTATATTCATTAGAAGTCGATTGCTTTATAAGTCTTATTTTTGACAATTAACTTTTAATTTAAATATATTAGTATGGAGCGGAGCATTAATGGAATAACCAACATAGCCCAATGGATCACAAGCTGAAGTAGCAACGGATTGGCCATATAGCTCAACAAATCAACAACTGATGGGGAAGAAAGGATCTAGAGTGGCAGCCTCGTAATGCCGAGTGGAGTAAAGGATGGAGTGACCATAGTAGGTGGAATGACAATCTGGTAAGACATGCAGGAAGTTGATAGATCTACGTTGCTCAGGACTACTTTGTCACTAAATTTTGGGGGGCCCATGTTCAATAGTAGACTTGTGAGGGCTGTAATGATGATGATGATGAATGATATAAAGAACCATACATACAATATAAAGAAAGTAAGCAAACCTGAAGTAAAAATCCTTGTATCATCATTGTTATCACCTTGATAAATAACATCAGCTACAATGTTTAAAATCATTTTAGTTTTACCGTTGTGGCAAGTTATAAAACACAACATTTTGAAACAGGGTCTAACAAATATTCATCTAAGTTTTGCATCTAAATAAAAAAATACAGAATATTATTACTATGCTATTTGTTAACATTTTATGTAATTATATAATAATTACATTTTCAATAAAATTTTAATGAGTTTTCACAAGAGTTTACTCAATATAGATTTTGATGTATGAACTACTACTATCAATATATTTTATTTCTTTTAAGGAAGTATAGAAGTACAGGCTGTGATAAACAAGCACACAGATCTGATGGTGGATGCAGTGGCAGAAACCTAAAATCATCCACAAGTAATAATCAAAATTCAGATATAACCTGTCGGAAATATCTGCGAACCTGGCTTGATGACGTCATGCAATATGGAGAGATGGCAACGGTACTGGATAGACGATAACGGGCGGAAATATCTGCGAACCTGGCTTGATGACGTCATGCAATATGGAGAGATGGCAACGGTACTGGATAGACGATAACGGGCGGAGGTGCGGGGAAGCGCGAGGGGAAGCGCATTCCAGCGAGGTTCGCAGATATTTCCGACAGGTTATGTTATTATCCCTGAGTACTAAAATGAAATGCCTCATTATTAATAAAAAGGGTATTTTTACTTAGAAAAAATGTATAGAATCATCACATTTTCACATTATAGTACATAAAAATAATATCTTAGAATTAAGATCTAAAAAGGCATTCCATTATTTATAAAAAGGTCCTTATAAGTCTTTATAATGTTTGCTTAAGCATAAGATATATAAACCAAAATATACCCTCCATATCAGATAATTCAATTATTATTAACTGTCAAACCCACATAATACAATATAGATATAATTAAGTATGAAATTTTAAGGTTTCCTTTTGTACCAACTAAATCCTAAAAATTGGCGCAATATTCATAATAATACTATTTATTAATATTTAATTTAATCAAGTAGGATTGTTTTATTTTCAGGTCACGGGAACACTTCTTTGGACAAAACTGTAACATACAAGCGGTAGACTTATTTGGAAAGATTAAATATAACTACTAAGACCTCTTCTAAGGGCAGAAGGCTATAATATGTGGTTTATAATATGGATTATGATACTGATGACATTCTTGTGCTAAAACCGCTGATATATTTTAAGGACAGACTAATATCACAATAAATTCATAAAAGGTATTTATTTTACTTTTTATAAGCCAGTGCTTGACCACCACCATTCCACCTGGTGGTAAGTGGTGATGTAGCCCTAGATGGTAAATCGTACTGTCTTAGCGTAACAAAAGCCTATTCACTCTTGCCTTGAAGATGCCCAGATTGTATTCCACAGAAAGATAGACATCGGCAAATTATTCCACTCCTTTGCTGTACACATTACAAAAGACGAACCGAAAAATATATAAATGTGTTAAATAAATATCTACACGAACTGACAACTACATGGCTTTATGGTTAGGGCACCTGTATTCACTATAGGTCCTTGTTCAGAATTTTGGCTAAAGCTTATTCATGTGAAATCAAACTGGTTTTCTGGCCTGTGATGATCTAATGAGCTGTGTAACTAGCCCCAGTTCTTTGAAACTGCCCCTTACCTTAAATTATATTGGTGTGCATTTAAATAATCAACATACTACAACATAATACAATTAACAAATAATCCCCAAAAATTTGAATAATAGCTCATTCTTGGCTACATTTTATTAAATCCCATTTTTTTCCACTTATATGTTCATCATCATCACTACAGCTCTACAAGTCCACTGGACAACATAGGCCTCCAGAGGAGTACCACATAACACGGTCCTGAGCCACCTGCTTCCATAGACTTTCTGCCTGCATTATCAAGTCGTCACTCAATCTAGTGCGTGACCGTCCTACACTTCACTTACCATTATGAGGATACCCTCGATAAACTTTTTGCCTTATAAGTTGTCAGTTATTTGAACTATATAGCTGCCTCATTATCAATTTAGCTTACTGGTCCGTTTAGCTGTGTGGTCGGTTCTATTGTGGATATCATTGTTACAGATTTTATCACACAGAAAAACTTCAAACATAGCCGTCTCCATCTATTCCTCGTTGAGTGGTATTACCCATCTCATTTTCATAATATTATGTCATTACTCACGCTGGTTGTACACTCTTGTTATAAGGTTTCGATAACGATTACGCGGCGAAAAGATGTGTCCTAATTCCCTGAACACTGCCCAGCCGGCGCCTATAGTAATTATATATATTTGCCCAGCCATGTGGACTGGAATGAACTAAAGAACAAAAAATGAAAAAATAAAAACTCGGCTTGGTTATTGGATGAGTCCTGAATGTGAATTGCAATTTGATTTCCATTTTTAGATAAATTTAGTATTTAGTAACTACTTGTATGTTCTATGCCGTGATATTATGTTCATCAGATGTGTGAGTGTATCTTTATTAATGTGTAAACAAGCTAAACTCCACCTGATGATGAGTGGTTGATGCAGCTCACGACTCACTGATACCTACATAATTACATTATACCTATAATTCAGATGAGAAAGCCTAACAATCTGTTATTAATATTATTTTGTTGTTATATAGTTTTTTATTACATGAGTAACAGTATTTTTTTTATAGAATAAGGGTGACAAACAAGCACTTACTGTGGCCTATAGATATATTATACATCTATCCTAGATTACGGATCAAAATGCATATGCGTTGTCACCCGTGAGGACTAAGATGGAATGCCTCATTTCCAGTAAAGAGGGTCTCCAGTTCTCTACTCCTACAATACGAAACACAGCAGTGTTAAACTGCTATTTTATGCTGGTATTCTGTGAGAGCGTGGTCCTTCCCGGTCGAGCTGACCCGTTCGTGCTATAACTATACTTCTAATATAGCTGCAGCATGGCTCTTCCACATGCATTATGCTTTTTTAACATCTGTTTTTTCTGGAATTTACAGGTTTTAGAAGTTTTGTGAATTGAAACCCTTTCTAAAGAAGAAATAAGAAACACGCTAGTGTAGTACCGTAAAAGTGGAAGCTTATAATAGACTTACCTTGTGAAGATATTAAGAATTAATTTACATATAACAAACTGGATGTTCCTACATTAAGGAAAGAATCATCTTTGTTACTTCAATCTCCACCGGTATCAATGGAATTGTTAATTGCAAAGGACAATGCCAGAATATCTCTATAGAACTTTGCCCCACCTAATTTTTTTTGCTGTTTTATTACTTTATCCAAATTGTATAATTTAACGCTTCTAACACTTGCGATTCTTTATTAAATTGAACTTTGTAATTACATTTACCTTATGTTTTTTAATAGCATTCATTGCACTTAATTGTAATTTCAATCTGTAAATTGTCAGGCGCTAATAAAATATGTAATTATGGATTTTAGAAGCCGAAATAAACTTCCGTTTGGTTTGTATAAAATAATTATGTGATCACCGATATTTGAGAAGGGGTTGTCCTGTTTTGGAGATAAAAGATCCTAACACTATAAGATAACCACGTCTTCCTTAACATTATTAAGTATAAACAAGTGGGCTCAATCTGTTACGTAAATATTACTTTTGATGTTGTGTCAATGTTCTATTTTTCTACATCAGCATTTAATAGAGGGTAGTATTATTTTCTGCTTAGGAATCAGTCTGGGTAGGTACGACACATACCCATGTCAGTCGACAAGCTGCAGTGCGTGCACTATGTTCCGGCCTGAAGCGGATAGAACATTGTTGAATAAATTGTTGCCAATCCCAATCCCAAGGTGTTAATATTGTTAGAGTAGGTAATTCTTTGAATTTTCTCTCTATATTGGCATATACAGTATCTGCTTTTATATGTGTGTCCTTAAAATAAAATTTTTAGTTCAAGTTTCAACTGGGGAAACTTTTTAAAAATGAAAAACATACACATGACAGCACAAATATTCTTATTTTGACCATAACAGTTATCTGACCGTATATTCAATATCTGATTCTGGTATGTTTTTGGTTGCCCAGTTTAAGGTTGAAGCTTTTTCGTTTCCAACCCTTTGAGCTTTAGTTTCATCCTACATAAAGCAAAATGCAGGACTGTCAGTACCATCATAAATAGTGTAATTTAATGTCCAAAGTTTTCTCTTATAAAAATTAACTCCATTTGTTAAATAAGGAGCGAAAATTATTTAAATAATCTAAATATTATTTATGGAATTTTTAAAAAATTTGTTCGCTACTGTGACCCCAGTGTAAACAAAACGGTGTAACTTTTAAACTAAATGATCTATTGCAATGAAATAAACTCCATAATAATTGGAAGTAATTAGTCCAATTAGTCCTTATAAAATAAAAATTACGGAAAAAACTACCCTCAATTGAAAATAAATACGTTTTTTTTTTAGAAAAAAAGTTATTTTTCACCGTATTAGCTACCCAACAGTAAAAATTGCATGTGTATCACTCAATCATACAATTTTCTTTTAAGTGTTAAAAGATAGCACTCCGAACGCCATTCATTGTTCTATTAAGGATGGTTTATTAGTAATCGTAAAATTTCTCGACGTTACCTACCGTTTTTATTACTTTAAGCTAATTTTCATCGTATTAGCCACCTGGTGGTAAAAATTGCATGTTTTTAACTCAATCCCATCATTTCTTATCGACTGTCAAAAAGGTCCAGCGCACGGCTACGCATTGTTTAGCTGGTAGATAGACCTTTTTTATGAATTTTGTTGTGATTGTGCGCGGGTCGGGGTGCGGGGAAGTAGGGCCAACCGAAGGGACATTGAATTATGACAAGCAGGTACAGGTAGTCGCTCCTAATTATTCGCCGCTGCTGAATGTGTTTCGTAACTTTCGTTCGCTGCTACATGATGCCGCGTTTAAGGGAATTCTTCCCGGCACACATTGCCGACATTCATTTTTACTATGGAGTGGGACGAGGAAGTGCCAGAGCTTCGCGCGCAGCTTACTTACATAGCTGCGTTTCCTAACAGCCAACCAGTGCCATCTGCCCGCAATTTCCAGGAATTTCACAGAAGGTTGTCGATCGCTGGACTTGGATTAAGTAGTGATCATCGCGAGCCGCCTTAAGTAATTATTGATGTGGCTACTGAACAATCTGTACTGAATGATTTGTTTCCTGATTCATCAATAAGTACTAGATGACTGGATCTTCGTCACGGAATATCCCAAAAATCAGTGTGGCGCATTTTAAAGAAAGAAGGATTGCGTCCTTATCACTACCAAAGCAAACCCAAATTTTCTGAAAACCATACTATGGATGGACGAAGCGACATTCACTAGAGACGGTATATTACTAACTGTAAATTTACACAAATGGTGCCGTGCAGGTGAAAACCCGAAATTGAAACGTTCATCGACTTTTCAAGTAAGATTTTCAGTAAATATTTGGGCTGGTCTTATCGATGACACGTTGATTGGATAAGTCATATTGCAGAGAAAGTTGACTGCTGAAAGATTTTTAAGTCTATTTACTAATGAACTACCTGAATTATTGGAGGATGTACAACTGGTTTTGCGTCGAGGGATGTTTCTGCAGATGGACGGATGCCCTGCCCATTATGCTACAAATGTTAGAACATTTTTAAACGATAATTATCGAGATAAATGGATCGACCGACAAGGACCTATACGGTGGCCTGCGCGTTCACCCTATTTGACGCCCCTTGATTACTTCCTATGGGGGACCATGAAACACCGCGTCTACAGTCAACCCCCCCCCCCCCCCCCCATCAATAGTGAGGCTGATTTGCGTGACGGTATAATTAACTGTGCGAATGATATTAGCAATGATCCCGAAATGATAAGGAGAGCGACACAACAAATTTTAATTCGCACGGCTTTGTGCCTACAACAACGAGGTGGACATTTTGTGCACCTGATGCATTACATTTGTGTGAAATAATAAATGGTTTTAATTGAACTGTTGTATTAATTATCATCCCAAATAAACCATCCTTAAGAACAATAAATGGACGTAGATTAGCAGAAAGGACTCAAACCACAAAATATCACTTTTGAGTAATCGATGTTTAAAGTTCGGAGATGTATTCTTCAGTGATATTGGACTCAGAATATTAAGGTGTTAGGTTAGTTAAGGGATTTAACAATTGCGTTTTAAATGGGTTTCAGTTTGATGGTATTTTGCATGTTATTCATGAGTTATTGAAAAAAATATAGGTTTGAGTCCTTTTTGATAAATTTGTATTTTCATGATGCAGTCTTTATTTGAATTCTACTTAAATGACTCAAGTGATTAATTAAAATTAAAATTAAAGGTTTTTTAAAAGAAAGTCAATAAATGAATCAAAGCAAAATTATTTATTAATTACCATTTATAATTTAAAATTAAACACAAGTAGGAACTGATCGACCGTGACTCTTACTATTAAAAAATCCAAAATGAACTCTACTTTTATTACACTATATCTTGCAATAAGTCTTCCTGGTCATCCTGCTCCGTCTGCTCTGTCTGCTCTGTCTGCTCTATAAGCAGCTCAAAATCAGTAACACAATCGAAGCCATCGACATCTTCAGTAATATTATCGTTCCCCTTTAGAGTTTTATAGAAATCTAAACAATCTTTGGGAATAAAGTCAAAGATAGATTTCAAGTCGTCCAGTTTTGCTTGAGCAATTTCTTTCCCATTCGGCCACAGCAACACTAAGTCCTCTTCCGATATTTCTAATCGTTTTCCTCTTAATTTCTTTTCAATGTTTAGCTCTTCAAACATTCCATCAGTATTTTCCATGTAGATTGTATACTTTTCATCTCTTTTCAAGAGTATTTTTTTTGTCCTTAACCAGTTAACTTTAGCTTTTGTAACGAAAGTTTTTCTGTTGACAATTTTCTTCTCCATTTTGCTGGTAGAAAAGAAATCATTTCTTTGCATCCTATAAACCTTCAGTGGATTTTTTTTCTTGCAGCTCTTAATCACGTTAATGTATTGATCGGGGGTGTATATTCTTTGGTGATATTTTAATTGGTATTCTATTTTAGAAAAATAGGTGTCATTGGGAAGAAATGTATGCCCTCACTCTAAATATTTTAGTGTTATTGTTTTTAGTCTCGGATGAGAATCCAATACTGCTTTCAGCATTAAAATAATTTTTATGTTACGATTCTGCCCCCCACAGCAATCGCTCCACAACACAAGATCTTCCACTTCATGGCTGAGATCGTTTTTAATGAACCGTACGAGGCACGACCCTACCTCTTGTGCTCCTCTTCCTGCTTCTCCTTCAACCCAAATGTTACAGTAACCTACGTCGTTTGAACCGGCATGAATACCACTATTGTAAAGCCAAAGCTGGCGCTTGTAAAAAACTATATTTGTGGGTATCCGGGGAAGAGGAAGCGTTTTTTCTAGGTCATACGTCAGACACTCAAATTTCTCGTCAATTTTAGCTCTTTGCAGATCTTGATTCATTTGAATTCTCAGTTCTTCAGCTCGTTTTAGATGCTCTTCTTTTTCTGCAACTAATATTGTCTTTTCTTCGGATGAACAATTTTTTATTTTATTTCTTAGCGAATCACACTTGTTGCACGTATCTTTTTTTAATGGCTTACATCGCAAATTAAAATTACTATAAAATATACGTTTGAAAGTATTTATAGAAACAGGTCTTTTTAATATACCGTAAACAGTTTTTAATTCATCTATATAAATTTCATGAATTTTTTCGATAGTCGTGCCCGGTTTTAAATATTTACTGTCGCTATTTTCTCTCCTATAGTGGGACTCATATTTAGGCAAGGAATTTATTATATTTTTAATGAACTCGACATCCTCTTGTGGCGTCTTATTCCAGCCACCTTGAGCTTTGCCTCTATTGTCTTTCAAAGCGGTACCAGATCGTTTTTTCAGTAAGGAAATATCGACTTTCTTATAAGAAATTTGAAAATTATGTGTGAACATATCTTTGCACACTTCTATGTCACATATAAAATAATTTCTTCGGTATTGTCTTGCGTTCTTTTTACCAGATTTATTATTTATCAAGGTGTATGATCTAGATTTAGGGCTTTCTTTGACGTTATTTAAAATATAAAGCAGTTGCGCTTCATATGAGCCTAATATAACATATTTTTCGAACTCTTCTTTCCTATTTTCTTCTGAAACGCGGAAATAACATTGCCTAGTGCATTTACACGTATAGTCTATAAAGTTTTTAGACGGAATTAGTTTATTTTTTCCATGATAAGGTAAATTGGCATATTTAACGTTCTTTTTCTGTGCCATAGTATGCTCTGGGTGTTTTCTTTTACGTCCTTTTTTGGGACGAAATGCCTGTGGTTCACTTTGTGTTTCTAAGATCAGATAATCGTCATTATTTTGAACTTCAAAATTGGTAATTTGATCCAACGTTTCATCACCACGAATAACATGAAAAGTTGTACTTGATGTTTCGTTTCTTATTTCGAAGTCCTGATTTACCAAATTATGCACCACAGCAGCATGAGTTTGTACAGTTCCTGTTGAAACACCAGCTTCGAAATCATCATCACTATCCGGTATACAACATTTTGCCGAAATAATATTGATGTCATTATTTTTCTTTACTCTAATTGAATGGCTACTATCTGAATCTTCTTCACTATCAGGCACATAATCAGTGTCCGTATCACTACTATAATCCCCTGGAAATATATCACCCAAAGTTTCAACTAGTTCTAAAGTGCTTGGAGACATAGCAGGCAAAGGTGATGGATTTTCTCCACAACCTGAAATATCTCAGAAAAATTAAACTTAATTATTCATTTATTTTTGATACATACAAGAATAAAAAAGAAGCTCATAACTACATTGAATTGTCTTATATCCGGGTACCCGAGGGGTCAAAGGCGAGTACGGTGGAGCTACTGGTGAATCCACTTCATCTGAAAATAATATGATTTTGATATATCATTTGCACCACCGATTTTTTTTTTATTTTAGTTAGTTGCAAATAAAAAAAATATTTTATTTTAGCTAATACCTATTTATTAATTTGTTCTAATTATAAGCTAGGGCCATTAATAATTATTTTATTACTGTGCAAATTAAGAATTCATTAGTGTTACCTTTGCACTCGTGTATATGCCTTGACGCGACTACGCCTAAAGGCGTCAACGGTGAATACAACGGAGCTTTTGGCGAATCCACAACATCTAAAACATTTTATACATTTAGTAAGTACACTCTTGGCTACATATCAAGCTATAAATCCCAATATAAGCTGATCTCGCAATGTATAGGATTTCCATACGATGAGGAGCCAGCCTATACTGGATAATTTATAGCTTTATATGTATGTATGTAGTCGCGTGTACCACACACCTACAATTATTGACTAAATAATTCATAATAATTATTGAATACACTACGGTCTCATCATATTCCATAAATTGATTTAAGCATCGAATAATGTTAATTAGTACCGTAAATAAGTATGACGAAAAATCCACTTACCAATTTTCGATAGAACTTGTTCTGGCATATGAGATAGCGTCAATGCAGTTGCAGGATTCAAGAAAGCAGCTGACGTTGTCACATCATCTGTAATAACATTAGCTTACATACACCACAACCCAGACATATGTTATGTCTAGACTAGGCTCGAAAAAATAAATAAATATAATATAGTAATAATAGACTAATAAGTACTTTCAATGTTGGTCATTCTAGACGATTTAAAGCCGTTACCGAATCGATGTTATTATTATCGCAAAATAGCATAGATTAATTTCAAATTAAGAATATCATTATAATAATTTTATTGTCAGTTTAAGGTCAATAAATAATAATAACAAGTAGATAGATAGGCACTTATCAGTTCCCTCAGTGTCATCCCTGTTTACTGGTGCCATTGTTAACAAAGTTTCATCCTCCTTCTTGTCTGTACCTGCACAAATAAAATGTAATGTCTTAATAAGTTTGTACAGTTTCTAAACTTTTTGAGGTTAAAGTTAAAAGTATAAAATTACTTACACTGCGGGAGTTTTTTTTTCTTCAAAGCACTTGAGATGATCCGGTCAATTCTTTTCATCGTTACAATCTCACAGCACGATATAAAAAAATATATTGTATTGGCCGTTACACTATTTCCGCCGTACTCATAACGCAAGTGATTACACAAGATACAATACAACAAGGGTTGCAACATTTTAAACTAAAATAGTATAAGTAAAAAAATGTTGTCGTTTAAAAAAATGCATGGTAGTAGGTAATCTATGAAAATAATGTTGTTACATATACGAGAATGTCCTTAAGTCATTTTAGTGACTTTAAAGTTGCAAATAAATATTAATCTTAAAAGCCCTAGACAGTTTGAGATTTTATAGCCAAATTATAAATGCACTTTTTTTTTAATTTCAGTTCATCAACAATGATTCAGAGAGTTTGAGTCATTTCAGTTGAATGTTCAAAGAGCGTTTTACGGTAATATTTATTTATCAAAAACGACCTAGGAAACTTAAGTCGTTTTTGATGAATAAAAAAACAGATTTTTTTTTTGTATGTGTATTTATTTAAAACAACTCACATGAATTGAGGCTAATAAGTTAAATAAAGTTTAGTGCGTTCCCTTGAAATATAATTTATTAGAAAGGATTCTAGCGGGTTGGGTCTATTTAGCTGATCATATAGAAATGCGCACCCTTATGTGGGTTGGTCCCCAGTATTTAAAAAAATGCTTTCTATTTGTCTGAGGCTAGCTCGTTTTTGCTGAATGATAGACCCGACCTTTTAGGTTCATTTGGTGTATCTAACTCATTTTTGACAATATTGTGGGTTGAGTCCTTTCTGCTAATCTACGTCCAAATGGCGTGTTCGGAGTGACATCTCTTAAGCCTTGATAGAAAATGTTTTGATTAAGTTATAAACATGCAATTTTTACTATTGGGTTGCTAATACTAGAGTAAAGGATGCAAATTTGGAATACCACTTTCTAAAAAAATCGTATCAGTCATGGGTTGAGAGTTTTAAGAATAAAAACTGCATTCAGTGTTAGAAAAACTTATCTTTTAATCAAATAAAAAATAATTGAAAACCTTGGCTTATTTTAAGTAGGAATTTTTTCGGTTTAGTCATAGAGTCACAGATTGGCGTAGTTTAGATAAAGTGAATCAAATTTGGAATAGGGTATTCCAAATTACAATCACCTAAATAATTAACTTTAATTAACCATTTAATTGGCCTAAATCTTGTAGATACAAGATACTGAGATCACTTAAATTAAAAAACTATATCAATGCTTATTTCTAAATCAATTCTACTTTTTTGCTTTTCTCTAGTCTTTGCAGTAATCACAAACATAGCAACCCGAATCATAACCAGCACATTCGCTGTGCATCCAGCCTTCGCATGTGAAGCATTGCACCCATTGTTCTCCCCTTTGATCTTCGGTAAATTTTCCATTACAGAAAAAACAAATAGTCATTTCCTGTAGGTTGTCTCACATTAGCATAAGAGGGTATATCTTCTTCTGATTCATCAGATGCGAATGTATCATCACTATCAGACTCTGTGTCTTTTTCTGGAAATATCTTTCTTTTGGTTGATTTGGAACTTTTCCCTTTTCCTTTTAAATTTCTCTTTGTTTTCTTTTCTTTGTTTCTATTTTTATACTCATTTTCAAATGGTTTTTTCAGTTTTTTTTTTGTTTATTGCTTCTTCCAATTGCTTTTTGTAGGGTGAGCTAGAAATTATTTCAGATTTACCTGGCTTACGACCTCGATTTGATGACCGATATTTGGAAGTAGGAACTGGTGAGATTTGAAACGGTGTCACAATGGGGTTACTATGAGAAGGTCCAGGAAGATTTTCTTTTCCTTGTTCTTCTCGCATGGCAATATCAGGAAGGTTTACTGATGGAGGATCTGTTTCCGACACAATTTCATTTGACTGTTGTCTGCTATTTGACGAAACATCAACATGACTGTCATCGAAACCTTGTAATAGGGTTGGTGAATGATTTCCAGCTTCATTTATGACTTGTGGACTTGCAGCGATAGGACTACGTGCTTCTTGTTCGTTTTCAGCAATGCCATCCGCTGATTCTTGTGCTGCTGCGAGATAGTCAGATTCCGTGAAAATATTTGTATTTAATAGATAAATGCCACCAACTCTAAAGCCATTTGCTGCAATTTCAGCAGTCTGGCATTTTAGATAAGCTTTGCCAAATAACTCTGAAATATCGTAGGCTATAATATAATATATAATATAATAATATATAATATAATATAATATAATAAGTGGTCTATTGTTTTCGCGCAACCACATACGAATTTCTTCACTGTAGTAACTTTTTAGTGGCCCCATGAATGCTTTATCCATGGGCTGGATCTTATGTGTGCAATGTGGCGGCAGTGAAATCAAAGTCACATGATTCTGTCTAGCTTTATCTATGAGCTCGATATTCTTTGTGTGGCTGAAATGACCGTCAAATAAGAGGAGAACTGATGAGGATTCGGACGGCTTTACATAATCGATAAAATGTTCAAACCACTGCGTGAATAAATGTGTTTGTATCCAGCCAGAAGGATGTACTCGGATAATAGAACCCTCAGGAGAGCCTTTCTTTAATAGGTCGCTATTATTTTTGCGCGGGAAAATCATCATGGGCGGTACAAATATACCAGCTGGACTCATACAGGTCACCACTGTTATGAGAGTTCCCCTTTCAGCAGACGACATAGCTCCAATTTGCTTTTTTCCTCGGCGACCAATCACTTTGGGATATTTGCTTTGTACAATTGACAGTCCTGTTTCGTCAACATTAAAAATCCTACTAGCCGTGACCTTTTTTTCGTCATAAACTTTCTCAAGATTTTGATAAAACTCGTCCATTCTTGCTTTTGTAAATCCATTGGCTCTAGCAAAAGATGTTCCAGTGGGCTTGCGTATTGATAAAGTTTGCTTGTGTCTCGCAAGAAATCCTTTGAGCCAGTATCTGCCAGCTCTGTCGTCATGGAATGGATGGGGCACATTATTTTTAACAGCAAGTTGATATGCTATCCTTCTCATATCCATTCGAGTCAAACCATATAATTTTTGTTCCATAACAAGGGCATATTTCACCAACATTTCCTCAAAAACCTTATTAAATACTCTAAATCTTTTTGGTCAGAGTATCTTCTAACAAACTGCCATTTTCTTGAACAAGTCGAAATAAGGTGGTTCTGGGTACATTATAAGTTTTTGCTGCCTTTAAATAGCCCATTTTCTTGTCTCGAACTGCTAATATTGCAGCAGCCATATCATTTTGACTCCACTTCTTACGCTTTTTATATTTACTGGCAGAGTTAGCAGTGGTCGAAGACATTACTAAAACAAAATTAAATAATATTGATCAAAAAGACTATTTGAATAAATAATAAATCCTAAAAAAGAATCCTTTCAATCAGAAGTAGAAACAAGAAGGCAAACTAATGTGCACATAATTTGGAATATTCCAAATTGACTTCACCTATAGTATTCCAAATTAGCAAAAGAACCATTTTTAACCTAAAATATTTTTATCAATGTGTGTTTAGAATAATTTCGAAAATAAGCCATGATTTCTACAACTGATACACAAAACTATAGATTTGTACAAATACAAACATGTAAATATAAGTTAAACTCAAGATGCAAGCCGATTTATTACTTGAAAAATTTTCTCGACAGCACTTTCACTCCGATGCAGTTTGTCACGGCGCTGTCAATATGGCTGCTTCTCAGTCACGCCCTCTTTGTTTGTTAGTACACGGACTACGTAATACAGGCATTCGTTATTAGATGGCGCTTTTCTTTATTTTTATAATGCAGTATTCCAAATTACCAGCAGTATTCCGAATTACCATCCTTTACTATATGAAGAATAACTTAAAGTAATAAAAAAAAGTACGTAATACGCGCGTCTTATTGAGAAATTTTACGATTATTGTAAAAATTGATGAAAAAAAAACAGATTTTTGGTATAAAAACGTATTATTTTCAATGAGGATAGTTTTTATCCATAATTTTTATTTTATAAGGACGCCTCATTACTTCCAATCATTATGGAGTTGTTGTTTAATTGCGATATATCATTTAGTTTAAAAGTTACACCGTTTTGTTTACACTGGGGTCACAGCAGCGAACAAATTTAAAAAAAAAATCTAAATGACCCACATTACTTTAATTGACTGTACGTTATGAATGAATGCTTTCACCGGGATATTATTACCTTTTTGGATAGGTGATTATGGTCCGAGAGCTCATGACGCATTTTTCATGAAGTGTTTGATGCATCATGAAACTTTGTTTAAAGGTATCAGTCGACTCAATAAGCAGGTATATGACTGTCTGCCTGGCCTACCGGGGTACACCTGGTACTGCGCATACAGGTAAGTCGCAAAAAAAATTGCCCAAAAAAAAGTGTTTGATTCAAATAATAATAATGACTATCCGTCAGCTAAGTTGATAGAGAATTAAGAAAAAAAAATGGCAGACACTTCTGAAGGGGTTTACATAGGGGCAGACTACCCCAAAGTTGTATTTTCAAAAATTCCAAAAAAAGTGTGATTCAAATAATAATAATGACTATCCGGCAGCTTAGTTGATAGAGAATTAAGAAAAAAAATGGCAGACACTTCTGAAGGGGTTTACATAGGGGCAGACTACCCCAAAGTTGTATTTTCAAAAATTCCAAAAAAAGTGTTTGATTCAAATAATAATAATGACTATCCGGCAGCTAACTTGATAGAGAATTAAGAAAAAAAATGGCAGACACTTCTGAAGGGGTTTACATAGGGGCAGACTACCCCAAAGTTGTATTTTCATAAATTCCAAAAAAAGTGTTTGATTCAAATAATAATAATGACTATCCGGCAGCTAACTTGATAGAGAATTAAGAAAAAAAATGGCAGACACTTCTGAAGGGGTTTACATAGGGGAAGACTACCCCAAAGTTGTATTTTCAAAAATTCCAAAAAAAGTGTTTGATTCAGTCTGCCATTTTTACAGCGTGTTTATTATGTACATATAGTAAAAAATTGTCACAAAAGGGCAGAAAGTTTCTCCGGGGGTTAATAGTCAAAAAAATATTTAAATAAATCTTGCGAGGAAAGCAGACAAATGTGCCACGGGTTGTAAAGAGTGCGACAGAGAGCGACGGTCGCCGATATGTCTTTAGTCATTCTTCGCGCTCCCATTGCGGATCACGTGATCTTGTACAACTGTACTGGCAGGATAGTATTTACTCAGAGAATTTTCATCTAACCTTTTATAAAACATTGTGACTGACAGTTAGTATGTAATTTTACATTAATGTCAGTAATTAAATACACTGTTTTTGATTGATAGTCCTTATTAATTCAAGCAATGGAATCTGTTTCTTGTATATTTTGTAAAGTGAAAAATGTAGGTAGTGTAATCACATTCTCAGAATATACGTTACAAAGGTGTCAAACATTGTTAAAAATTCGACAAGAACATAAGTTAAAATATAGTGATGTTGTTTTACCAGTGAATTTATCTCAAACCCTAGGTTACCATCGTCAATGCTATTCTTCCTTTACAAGTGTAAAACAGCGATACAAGAAGAGCCTATTGTCAAGTGAATCTACAGAGACATCAATTACGTCAGGTATTTACCAAACTTGATTAGTTACGGAGTAAAAATATATTTATACAAATTACCTCTATATTGAAAGGTTATTATCAGAAGATTTTGAAGATAATAAATTTCGTAGTCTCATGAAGCAACTGCTATTATTTTTTAATTTCATTTTTCACAGCATATTTTACCTTATGCTGTAAACCTACAAATTTTAGTTGCGATAGAAATTTACTAGACTGTACATGTTTTCATACCTGCTGATCTGATATTTCTTACTTTCTTTACAGATCCATCTCCTTGTATTGAACCTGAAGTAGAAAATGTAGAAATAGGGGGTCTGGATTTCCAACTTGAAGAAAATATTCACCAACAAGATAAACAAGATCAGCTTGAAATTGAAGAATGTTCAAGTCAAATTCAAAGTCCAGTTTCAAAAACTCTTGATACCTGTCTATTTTGCACTAAAGTTCGCAAAAAAGTGAAAGGCCGACAAGAAGTACTGTACGTCATTGACAGAGATGCTCTGAAAAGAACATTAGAACCACTTATAGAGCATGTTGAAGAAACTATAGTATTTCAACACTTACAATCTTCGAACATTTTAAAAGCACATCGGAGTTGTCGAGTTGAATATATAAATTCTTTGCGTGTATTTGAAAACAAACAAAAAACACAGTACCATAAAAAAATCAAATACCGCGAAGAAGCATATTCTGAAGTTTGCGATTTTATTGAAGAGCAAATTATTAAAAATAAAAAATGTTTTTTTTTACTCGTATATCTGCCAGTATTACGTTAATACGTTGAAAAAATTAGCTGCTAACGATTGGACGGACTACGAGAGTGATTGTGGCCAGAGTTATTTGGAACAAAAGTTATGGAAAAAATTCGGAGATCTAATTGATGTTACAACTATGCACAACAAAAAAATTGTTGGGCCTAAAGGTCGCGAAATCGATGAACATTTATTTTCATTAATTGAAGAGAAAGATATCGTTCAAAAAGCTGCTAACATTTTACGGCGGAAAATACTGGACATCAAAAAAACGCCATTACCAGACGAGATACGAACTTCGGACATTTTGAAAGGGGAATGTTTAATTCCGAAAATATTGAAAGACTTTTATGTAACATTACTCGCTGGTTCTCGGAGTAAGCGAAGAAAAAACATTCATACCGACAGGATTAGTGATTCATTATCCGAGGATGCGATTTACAATGTAACAAATGGTAAAATAAAAACAAGAAAGCATTTAACTCTTTCTTTGACTCTAAAAAGTATCACAAGTAGCCGAAAAGTTGTGGAGATAATTAATAGATATGGACATTGTTGCGGCTATCATGTGGCAGAAGAATTGGAAACCGAAGCAACAATTTCAGCTTACCAACGCTCAGCTGTTTGTCCAGAAGGCATTATTAGGAGACAAGGATTGTACACTGGCTTAGCCTTCGATAACTTCGATCGATTCGTTGATACTTCCTCTGGCAAAGATACTTTACATGATACCGTTGGTATAATTTACCAAAATGTTGACAAAATATTCGAAGAAGATTCTGCTGTCTTTGATGAGGAGTTGAATTTAGATATTCATGAAGATTCTGAGGATCCAGGACCAAGTGGAATCTGGACTAAGGGTGGTGGGAAAAGACGTAGGTCATTAGAACAAATAGCTATAAATATTCTTCCCTACACAAAAAAAATTAAAATGTCTGAAGTTTTGTTGTCAAATGACGATACTAGACGTTTAGTATTTCCGACAACATTAGAAGTAGCGCAGACTTTTGATGTTCTATGGATGCTTTCACACGCCTTCGAAATTCCTAATACACCCATGTGGGTTGGGTTCAATAGCAAGTTCATTGAGGACTTCAATACCAGTCAGCAGAAAATTTGTTATCTAACTCCGATCAATGGCTCACCTTCAGGAAAAGACGTAGTTTTGCAGACCATGAAAGAAAGCCAAAAAATTGCGGACGAATTAGGACAAAAATTTATCTCTGTAACATATGACTTAGCAATAGCTAAAGTGGCTATGCAAATTCAAGCAACGGAAAAACCGTCTTATGACAATTTGTTCATTCATCTTGGTGCTTTTCATGTTATGATTGCCTATTTCAAAGCTGTTGGTAAATTTATTGCTGGTTGTGGGTTGATGAATGTTGCTGTTGATAGTGGTTTATTAGCAAGTGGATCGGTGAATTCGTTATTAGATGGTAAGCATTTTAACAGGTGCAAACGATTGCATCCACTAATGGCTGTTGGCTTGGAAATCATAAATTTTAAATAATTTCTCGAAAAAAACAAAATAGAAGTTGGAGAAAATGTTCGTTTCGAACTTTCACATTTCAGTGACGGATTATTATCATTTTCAAATTTAATGGACAACAGTGAAATTTCCAAATTAATTGAATCATACATCACGTACAGAGAAGCTTGCTTGAATGGTACGTATGGCAAAACAGCACAATTCTTCATGATGTATATATATTTCATACATCATTACTTGACATTCAGCCGGAGTATTAGAACAGGCGATTTTTCATTGTTTAAACATATCCTGCCTAAAATAACCAATTTGTTTTTTACTTTCAATCAACCCAACTATGCTCGTTGGTTGGTTAAGTATCACGATAATTTACTAAAAATTGAGACCATCAATCCAAAAATCATGGAAGAAATGGAGAAAGGGTATTTTGGCATCCAAAGAACTGAAAAATCGTTCTCTCGGCAACCAATAGATCTGACACTTGAGCAAACTATCAATGCCGATGCTGCAAAAAGATTAGTTGGAATCATAAATTTCACTAACTCTATTTCAGCTCGGCAAAGATGGTGCTTAAGTCATCAAATAAGATCTTCGATTACAGCATATACATATGAGGCAACAGGCTTACGGAAAGTCCAAGACGTCACTGCAGATTTACGAAAGCACCAGTTAAAAAAAGATACTGAGCAGCTACAGAAATTTACCAGTAGTTTCTCAAAGTTTATGAACCCGTTCGATGACAGCAATGACAACAATAAATTGTTCAACATATCCAATGGAAAAGCGGCTTCAAATGAAGTGGCGCAGTTCTTATTGAATGTTGATAATATAGGTAATAAAATGCGTGAGACATTTATTTGCGAATGTTCCGAGTCAACTGAAAGGTTTGAGGCACCAATCAAAAGGACAAAAATTCTTAACTTTTCATCAGAAGTGGCTAAAAGTAAGATAAAAAGTAGTGGTAATGTTCGCGCAAAACTCTGTTGTCGGAATCGACACCAGATGTCACTCGGCTCGGCGCGATTCCGGTCTGAAGTTCTTCCGATCCTGGCAGTGGCGCGCGGGTCGCAAGCGGATCAGTCATCTGCCAGATGTGCTAATGTTTGCACGCTGTTAATTTTGTGCGGGAACCGCGGAATAGTTAGGGCGTCTAGTAAATATCCTGTCTAGGAATTATAACGCGCATTCCCTGTTTGGATAGCCTTTCCCGGGACTTATTGGGTCCGACTCAGAATCTGTATAAGTGCATTCGACAATATAAGCTAGTGCGGCCTCGGTATTTAGAACTGTTGCCACGCGAAACGGTAGTGACCTTTGACCTAGAAACTCCGGGCGTGTTTTGTGCGGTAACCTTATACCCCGCGATAGTTAGTGGCTTCTGTAAGCTAGTTAATCGTACGATAGAGTTAAGTGACTGTCATCGTGGTGAACCAAGAAAGTGACTGTGGATAACCTCGAAAGGCCCCCTCAAATTGGAGCGGTGTCGACGCTCGGGCTGCTGCCGACGGCTAAGGTCCAGGTTTAATCACCATCAGTCACACCCAGATACACACCACATCACCATTCTTTCCCTTGCACTACACAACTACATGCGACCTGACCGACTCCGGAGGGACCAGTCGTCTTGGATCGAGGTAAGTGAACTCCGCCAAATTCCTTCCGGTCGACTGGCCGTAGTATAACGCTCCCCCATATATTTTAGTGTAATTAGAGAGATTCCACGTGGCCTTAGGAGGCCCGACCTACGTTTGCTCGGGAAGTCTTCTGCTGATGGGCCCCGGGGGATTGGATCCTTTAAGGGAGCAACCGTAGGCCGTAACATTTGGTAGCAGAGCGTGGTTCCGGGTTCGATTCCCGGTCGATCCCGACTATAGTGTTTGATAAACATTAAACAATTTTGGTGGCAGGGAGCGTTGGTGTGATTGGTTTAATTTGCATCTACAATCACGCCCGTCCGTAATACGTAAAAATATTTTTTTTGTACGTAATAATAGAATTATTTTCCTTTGTTGCTTTGTTGCTTGCCTTTTTTTTGGTTAGAGGGTAATTTGAAAAGCCGCGCCCTAGGTTGTGCAAGCGGGAGATTTTCTAGAGATATACGTCATGTAGGTAGATGGTTATTTTTACGTAATCGGTTAATTATCGTTGTCGGAGAGTTGTAGTGGATTACTTATCGAAGGTTCGATTTCCGAGCTAGGCATTTTTTGTTGATCGACCGTGATGTGTATCTTCGTTTATACTGTAAGTTGTATTTGAACTAAATAGTAGTAGTTTGTATTTGCGCAATTTGAATTTAACTTGATTCGATCGCACTAGTATTTGTTATTTGTTAATTTGATTTGTGTCTTTTTTGTGCTAACTTGTATTTGGTTGATACGTAGCAAGTAGTTCGTATTTGTGTAATTTCTATTCAACGCGATTTGATAGGAACTGCATTTATTAACTGTTAATTTTTTGTTGTATTTTTTATTTGTTATCTTTGTAAACTGTGCTCAAGCCGCGTCGTAATTTGCATTTAATAGTGATGACATCGCCCAAGCTCCTGATCCGTTGTTTGCGGACTGAGCTACGCTGGGCCACAAGCGCCCATGCTTTGATAGGTCGACCGGATAGGGTCCATAACTTGATGAAGCAGTTCGAGCAGGTGGATGCTCGAAGGGCCGCAGTGGAGGAGGCTTACGCTGAACTCGAGGATTCGGATGTGGAGAAGGGAGTCCTGGACTCCTGCTTCGCGGACTATGAGCAGTTCTTGTGGCTCACGGACGAGTTGATCGAGGCTGAAGGCAGGTATGCCGAGGAGGCTCGTGAAGCTCGGATGAGTGACTTGTCCGAGTCCTCTCTGAAGCGGCTTCAGCCGGAGCTGTTGGGACGACTCCCAACTCTGGACCTGCCAAAGTTCTCCGGGGTCCTTTCCGAATGGCTGACCTTCGTTGGTCTTTTCGACAGCCTAGTGGACTCCCGGAGTGACTTGACCCCGAGCCAAAAGATGGTGTACCTCCTGGCCTCACTGGAGGGGGAGGCCCTGGGCGTCGTCGGCCACTTGAGATTGTCGGACGACGCCTACCAGACTGCTCGGGACCTCCTAGCCATAAGATACGCCAACGTCCGGCGAATTGCGGACGAACAGGTTAAGCAGCTTCTAAGCCTCCCGCTGCTTAGTGACCGGGCCAGACTGCGTCCGGACCTGTTGGATCCAGTCTTGGTGGCCTGTAATACTTTGAGGCGGCTGGGTTTACCAGTGGGCGAATGGGCTTTTTTGTTGCTCCGCATCGTGCTGTCCCGTCTACCTCTCGACCTGCGAATCCATTTTGAGGAGAGGTACGGCGGGGACGAGGCCTCCTATATTCCGCCCTTCTATGACCTGCTGCGGTTTTTGGAGGAGCAGTGCCGGCAGATCGAGAACGCGGCGGGCACCGTTGACGACTTGCGAGACGTGCCCAGTGAGAGGCTGAACCCGCCAGGCAAGTCGTCGTCAACCCCCCCCTGCTCCTATTGTCGAGCATCTGATCACCGGGTAACGTCGTGCCCGAAATTATTAGGTAAGCCGGTTCCAGCGAGGCGAACTATCGCCAAGGAGCGCCACTGGTGCTGGTCATGTCTGGGAGGGCACCTCCAGCGAGACTGTCCGCATCGACGGCCCTGTCTGCATTGCCAGGGCAATCACCATGCCGTTTTGTGCCTGGGTGCGAACGGCATCTCCTCTCGGGGCTCTGCCAGGCCCTCGACCCCCACGGGCGGGGGCGCTCAGCCACGCCCTCTGCAGGGTGACTCTCGGCGCCCGCCGTCCAGCCACCAGGCCCCTAAGTTTGAAAGGAGTCCCTCCCCCGACCAGTCGGGGGGTAATTCCCCCAGGGGCGGGGGTGTCATCACCCCCCCTCAGCGTGTGGAGAGGAACTTCACGGCCACTCATCGGTCCGCTGGACCCTTCTCACTTCCGTTAGCTGAGTGGCCGCGACTGGTGTACCACTGTTCCCCATTTGATGGAGGCGGCCCTGTCTAGCTGCTGCCTTAGTTCCCACCACGGCCGCCTCCACTGAGCCTTAAGCCGTCAACAGTCCACTTGTCAAAATGTTCTGTTGCCGACGGCCTCAGTGAAGGCGTACAACCCGAGTGGCAACTGTTAAAGGTTGTGCTCTATTTATCTCGGGTTCACGCCATGTGGCCTCCCCTTGGTGGTGGGAAGATTAGGGCCCCCCTGTAGCGTTGAATCACGCTGTCAAGGGGTATTAGATTTGGTTTGGTCGAGCACTTAGTCAAAAAATACTTGAATTAAAATTAAAAATTGCTTTGGGCTTTCCGCGAAATTCTCCTATTTGTAGCGGTTTAAATTAAAAGAATTGAATTTAATCTACTCCTTTAAATGCTACTGCATGTGTTTTGTACATATATTTAATCACTGTATTTGATTGTTGCGTTTGTTTGCTGAAAGGAAAATTTGAATTCATCTGAAATGGAATGGCGCACTATTTGAAAAATTATGTTTATGTTTATGATAGTGTTTAATCATTTTTGTTTTCTAAGAAGTAGGGCTGTCCCTTACGTTATTGTTTTGTTTAATTTGCAAGTTGACCTATGCGCATCGGTGATTAATTTGGTTGAATTAATTCTGTAGTTGAACATTGATGCTTTTGAAAAATTAGTTGAAATATGAGCATAGGACTACTTGTCTAACAGGCTAGCTAGTTTGGAGATTATCAGATTGAAATCAGCTGCCGCACTATTTTAGTAAATGATAATATGGTGGGTGGCCTGGCTAGGCCTACTTGTTGAAAATTCATACTAGGGACTATCTGTGCGTTTCGTTCGGCTCTCCACAGACGACGTTCATGTGGAATTTGTGGGTGCTCTCTGCACTGAAGCTTAGGAGGCCGCTCGAGGCCGCTTCGTGTCGCGTCACTGTTTGCAGAGCTGATCCGGTCGGATTGCGGAACTAATCATAGGGGCACAGATAGGTGTTTGAAAGAGGTCGTCGGACTTCTGTCCAGTACAGGACTTATTAAAGTGCTGCGATGCCCAGGAGGGGCATCCAGTGGAGGCTGACCCTCCGGCTTGCCACATTAGGGATATCTTTGAGGCGTTGATTAGGGTTGCAAGACCTAATGGATTGCCTAAGGTGGCCTAGTTTGGTTGTAGATTCGGTCTTGCAACTTGCAGTCTCGACCTTGTCCCGCTGACCGGTTTGCTCGCGGACCTAAATCCTTATGTCCGGGACGGGGGTTTGTTCGCGCAAAACTCTGTTGTCGGAATCGACACCAGATGTCACTCGGCTCGGCGCGATTCCGGTCTGAAGTTCTTCCGATCCTGGCAGTGGCGCGCGGGTCGCAAGCGGATCAGTCATCTGCCAGATGTGCTAATGTTTGCACGCTGTTAATTTTGTGCGGGAACCGCGGAATAGTTAGGGCGTCTAGTAAATATCCTGTCTAGGAATTATAACGCGCATTCCCTGTTTGGATAGCCTTTCCCGGGACTTATTGGGTCCGACTCAGAATCTGTATAAGTGCATTCGACAATATAAGCTAGTGCGGCCTCGGTATTTAGAACTGTTGCCACGCGAAACGGTAGTGACCTTTGACCTAGAAACTCCGGGCGTGTTTTGTGCGGTAACCTTATACCCCGCGATAGTTAGTGGCTTCTGTAAGCTAGTTAATCGTACGATAGAGTTAAGTGACTGTCATCGTGGTGAACCAAGAAAGTGACTGTGGATAACCTCGAAAGGCCCCCTCAAATTGGAGCGGTGTCGACGCTCGGGCTGCTGCCGACGGCTAAGGTCCAGGTTTAATCACCATCAGTCACACCCAGATACACACCACATCACCATTCTTTCCCTTGCACTACACAACTACATGCGACCTGACCGACTCCGGAGGGACCAGTCGTCTTGGATCGAGGTAAGTGAACTCCGCCAAATTCCTTCCGGTCGACTGGCCGTAGTATAACGCTCCCCCATATATTTTAGTGTAATTAGAGAGATTCCACGTGGCCTTAGGAGGCCCGACCTACGTTTGCTCGGGAAGTCTTCTGCTGATGGGCCCCGGGGGATTGGATCCTTTAAGGGAGCAACCGTAGGCCGTAACAGGTAAAGTTCATGAGGTCAGTATGCAACGAGATTTATTTGGACGAATGTTGGGCTTGTCCATGGATCACGCTGTAGATTTAGAAAAGGTGTTACGTTATCCAATTACGCCAATTCCGATGTCTTTATGTCATTTTAATGGTACAATTTGTAAAACTCAAAAATCAGCAATTGTTGAAGTCTTCGAGAAACAACATAATCCGGGAAATATTCCGATGAATTTCGATGTGGTTATCGTTGATGGTTTTTACCTTCTACATACTATGCATGATGTACCATCAACTTTTGGCAACATTTCGAAGAAAATAATAAAAAGTTTGACAGCCACGAAAGCTCCTCGAGTCGACATAATCTTCGACCAATATTTCTCCCCCTCTATTAAAGATTATGAACGAAAATTGCGAAATGAAGAAAATCTCATGGACTTTAATATCAACGGATCTATGCAAGTTCGACCAACGGATTTTAATAAAGAGCTGAAAAACATAAAATTTAAACAGGCTTTTGTTACTTTTTTAGTAGAAAATTGGTGTGACTCTGAAATGGTGCCTTTCCTTGGTGATACAATAATTAATTTAAATTACGATTTTTGCTATTCGTACAAAGTCGAGGATAATGCTGTGGTCCAGACAGTTAACGATGATTTATCATGTGGATGCCATGAAGAAGCGGATAGTAAAATAATTTATCATGTTTGTCAATTGGAATCGGATTCTTCTGCTAATGTACTTATCAAATCATGTGATACAGATGTATTAATTATTATGTTAGGAAATATGGACCATTTAAAAAGTGATAACATAAATATTTATATGGAATATGGAGCTGCAAACAAGAAACGAGTCATTAATATTACTCAATTATATATTGAATTAGGGACAACTCTTTGTACAAGTCTGCCAGGATTTCACGCTGTGACAGGATGCGACTATAATCCTGCATTCTTTAAAAAGGGTAAAAAAAGACCATTTCAAATTATTAAAAACAATGGGTGTTATCAAAAGGCACTGACGGACCTTGCAAATGACGATGTACCTGGACTCCAATATGAAACATTTACAATACTTGAAAAATTTGTCTGTGAGCTTTATGGTTATAAAAACTGTACGGATGTTAATAATGCTCGGTTTCAAAAGTTTTGCTCTACTTATAAATCGAAAAATACGAATGAACCATTCCAAAAATCTATTCAAAGATATGATGCCTCAAATTTACCGCCGTGTAAGTCAGAATTACACCAGCATCTTTTGCGTACGCAATACATCACCAGTGTTTGGCGCAATGCTCACTTGGTTAAACCAACTAATTTGGTACCAGCTGGTAATGGATGGATATTAAAAAATGAAACGTATGAATTTAAGTGGTTCGAAGGTGATTGCGTACCTGAAACCGTATTAGATGCTATCAAAATTTCGGAAAATAACACTTCCAACAGAACTGGTCAGTATTTTGAAATTAATTTATTTTATTTTATTGATTGTCATTTACTAATGATTATTTTTTTTACAGATGATGAATTGATTTCTCGTCAAAGTGAAGACTTGTTTGAAAGTGACGAATCAACCGATGCTGAAGAGTCAGATTTCAGTGACAGTTAAAGCGAAAACTAACAAAATATATGTATTTATTTATATATTTATTATAGATATTTTTTTTTCTTTAATTTTGTCAGAATTTTTTTCATTGTAACTACCTAATAAAAAATCTCCATTAGCTGTAATTATTGTTGTACATTTGAGTAAACTTCACTTTTATCTACTTCTTGAAATATTCATCTAATAAAATATATAATTTATAAAAAATTATATTATAGTCATATTATGTGTAATAACATGCTTATGCATTATATTACATGTTAGTTCTAACAACTGTACAAGATCACGTGATCCGCAATGGGAGCGCGAAGAATGACTAAAGACATATCGGCGACCGTCGCTCTCTGTCGCACTCTTTACAACCCGTGGCACATTTGTCTGCTTTCCTCGCAAGATTTATTTAAATATTTTTTTGACTATTAACCCCCGGAGAAACTTTCTGCCCTTTTGTGACAATTTTTTACTATATGTACATAATAAACACGCTGTAAAAATGGCAGACTGAATCAAACACTTTTTTGGAATTTTTGAAAATACAACTTTGGGGTAGTCTGCCCCTATGTAAACCCCTTCAGAAGTGTCTGCCATTTTTTTTCTTAATTCTCTATCAAGTTAGCTGCCGGATAGTCATTATTATTATTTGAATCAAACACTTTTTTTGGAATTTATGAAAATACAACTTTGGGGTAGTCTGCCCCTATGTAAACCCCTTCAGAAGTGTCTGCCATTTTTTTTCTTAATTCTCTATCAAGTTAGCTGCCGGATAGTCATTATTATTATTTGAATCAAACACTTTTTTTGGAATTTTTGAAAATACAACTTTGGGGTAGTCTGCCCCTATGTAAACCCCTTCAGAAGTGTCTGCCATTTTTTTTCTTAATTCTCTATCAACTAAGCTGACGGATAGTCATTATTATTATTTGAATCAAACACTTTTTTTGGAATTTTTGAAAATACAACTTTGGGGTAGTCTGCCCCTATGTAAACCCCTTCAGAAGTGTCTGCCATTTTTTTTTCTTAATTCTCTATCAACTTAGCTGACGGATAGTCATTATTATTATTTGAATCAAACACTTTTTTTTGGGCAATTTTTTTTGCGACTTACCTGTATGCGCAGTACCAGGTGTACCCCGGTAGGCCAGGCAGACAGTCATATACCTGCTTATTGAGTCGACTGATACCTTTAAACAAAGTTTCATGATGCATCAAACACTTCATGAAAAATGCGTCATGAGCTCTCGGACCATTAAATGGACATGTTTTTTAAAATACTTTTGTCGCATGTCATAGTAGTTTTTTTGAAGTACGTAATATGTTATGACACATAAAGTGTAAAGAAAAGGAAAGAAAATATTAAGACCCATAATTTTTTATTGTGAATACTTTTTGTACTTTTTATGATTGTATTCGCTTGATTTAAGCTTCAAGAAAATAAACTTAAAAACAGCATATAAAAAGGTTTTATTTTTATTTAGAACTAGCTGTTCCCCGCGACTTCGGCCGCGAGTAAATTATTACGATTGGATTTCATGGGTTTTAATTTTTTGCGCGGAACCCTAATTCTTTTTCTAAAATAAAAGTATCCTAAGTTACTTCTTATGACATCAGCTATCTGCCAGTGAAAGTCCGGTCAAAATAGGTCTAGCCGTTTCGGAGATTAGCCAGAACAAACAGACAGACAGATAGAAAGACAGACAGACAAAAATTTAAAAAAATTGTGTTTTTGTTATAAGTACCGTATATACTTGCATAGAGTATAAAGCTGCTATTTCGACATTACAAACAGACACTTCAATTTTATTTATTTGTATAGATTCAATACGAAATTCTGATTGATTATTGAACAATCTTTAAAATCCGTATATGTCAAGACCATTTTCGGCCATACATGTGGGGGATCAAATTTGTAGCATTTTGACTCCCCTATGGTCAAATTTGTAGCATTTTGACTCACATATCACGCCTTGCCAGAAAGTTGTCGCGTTCCCAGTAACCCTGTATACAATTTTAAAAACTAAAATAAAAAAAATAAAAAACTCAAATTATTCTACAGTTATACTCGCGGTATTGTGTCAAGAACGCTGGGAGAGTTTCCTCGCTGAATGGCTATACTTAACCTTTGATCGAGAAAAGAACAGAACCTCTTATCACCAGCAGCAAAGACCAGTCGCGGTTACAGTTCCTTTAGGAACTTTATCGCAAGTGGACCACACAGATCGTTAGTCTTTATAACAAATGGCACAAATATTCAATCATCTCTTATAGACTCATACTTGCGCTACTTAGTTCTGCCTCTAATGATACCCCGGTTCTAAACGAGGTACCCTTGAGATGATAAACTGGACTGCCAAAGTGACGCGAGTAGCATCCCACACCAGGGCTTTATCTCCCAATGAAATGGATCAAAATCATATCGTCGGGTCTCCTGCACGTCTTTTTTTTTTTTTTATAGGATACGGGTGACAAACGAGCACACAGTCCACCCGATGGTAAGTGGTTGCTGCGGCCCATAGACATCTACATCTATCCTCTATTACAAATCAAAATGTAGATGCGTTGTCACCCGTGACGACTAAGATGGAATGCTTCATTTCCAGTAAAAAGGGCCTCCGGTCACCTGCACTCACCAAGCGAAACGCAGAGCTACTTCACGCTGGTTTTCTGTGAGGTCGTGGTACCACCCCGGTTCGAGCCGGCCCATCCGTGCGACAGCAAAAGCTGCCGCGTGACTCTACCACTGTTTAAAATCTCTAAATATTCGTCACAAGGCTATAAAACTGAGGGAACATATTATATTAGAGCTCTTCGGATAACATCGTTCGAGAATCGAGATCGACAATCGTGATGGAGACAACCTACCAGCACTTTTCTTACAAGTACACTTTTCTTATACTTACGTGAAGCCCAAACTCTTCGACGCTTCTACCACAAGATGATGAGGTTGACAAATTGCCGCTCCTACTTAGATTCCAACGGCTATGCGCAATTTTCCCCACCAAGCAAAGTGCTGAAATTACACGGTGGTAAAGCTAAGGATGTGGCCTGGGTACATCAGTATGACTAGATTCCGTAGTCAAAACACCTGATCTTAGGTCACTATGGAATATATATGTAACAATTTTTTATGCACATTCCGTACCAACGGAATATCCTACTGTTTTTGTTTTTGGTTAACTTCCAGTGGAACATTTTCGTTGGGACACAGTGATTTCCACTTGTGGGAATACACCACTATTTCACGGTGGTATTCGGACAGGATTATCCGTGTAGTGGCGGTTAAGAATATCCACTACCCCATATCTTCCCGTGGGTGTCGTAAAAGGCGACAGTAGGAAACAGGCAGGAGATGGGCAGCAGCATCTTCCTGATAACAGCAATATCACAATAAAAAAACTGCGGTTGCCAACCCGCTCGCCAAGTGGCAAGTATGGCAATATACCCCCCAATGAATAAAGTTACGAAAGGACGGCCCCCAGTCCCTGGTGGCCCCGCTATTCCTGGCTACGGTGGCGACCATGGTAACGGCGGGGCAGGGGGTGATACGAATCTCCGGTGGAGGTTCGGTTGCCACCTACGACACGTCATGACGGTTCGACATAAATGAGATTGACTTCATTATGACGACCAGACCACGACTGTTCAGTGATCGCGAGGGTGAAAACTGGTAGCGATCACCGAATGGTTAGAGGCACACTGAACCTAAACGTTAAGTTGGAGAGGTCTCGTCTAATGAAGTCAACGCTCCGCCCCCCTTGTGCCCTAGTCCAAAGTCCGAAACGTTTCAGCTCGAGTTACAAAACCGTTTTCAATGTCTAGAAAACTGCAATGAATTGAACTATATAAATGATAAGCTCGTGGAAATTGTCCATGCGGTCGGAGCTAATTTCTGCAAGACCCGCCGCAGAAGAGCACAAAAACTCTCCGATCACACTCTTAATCTCATGGCTGTTAGACGGGAAATAAAGCTGCAGTCTTCAACAGATTTGACACTATACAGGCAACTGAACAAACAGATCTCCAAATGCATGCGGCGGAACTTACGCAACTTCAATACAGCTTGTATTGAATAAGCAATCGAGCGGAACCAAGGCTCCAAAGTCTTTGCCAGAGATCTGTCTGCCAGAAAAAGCCAACTGTCAAAGCTGAAGACCAAGTGTGGCAGCATCGTTTCAGTGTCAGTCTGAGCGAAATTAGAATGGCTTTCCAGCACCTTAAAAACGGCAAGTCCCCGGGCGAGGATGAAAATACAGCGGAGCTTCTGAAAGCGGGTGGAAAACCGGTACTTGAAGTCCTTCAGAAGCTCTTTAATTCCGTGCTCCATGGTGGTACTACTCCGGAGGCGGGGAGCGAAAGTGCGGTGGTCTTGTTCTTCAAGAAAGGCGATAACGCTCTCCTGAAGAACTACAACCGATTTTCCTTCTGAGTCGCGTCTACGTGCTGTTTTCGAGAGTCATTACGAATCTTCTCGCACGCAGACTCGACGATTTCCAGCCTCCCGAACAAGACGGTTTCCGAAAAGGCTTTAGTACCATGGACCACATACACACCCTTCGGCAAATTATACAGAAGACAGAAGAGTACAATCTGTCACTTTGCCTTGCGTATGTGGACTTTGAGAAAGCCTTTGTATCCGTCGAAATTTGGGCGGTGCTACAGTCCCTTCAGGGGTGCCAAGTTGACTAACGGTATATCGAAGTGCTGAAGTGTTTGTACAGTAGGGCTACGATGGCTATCCGAGTACAGAACCAGAGTACGAAACCTATCTAACTACAGAGAGGTGTAGGGCAGGGTGAAGTTATATCTACGCAACTCTTCACTGCTGCATTGGAAGATGTTTTCAAGCTACATCACTCAGCTTATGCAGACGATATAGTCCTTATGGCAGAATCGCTGGAGGACCTAAGCACTATGCTCAATGACCGCAATAGTGTCTCCTAACGGATAGTTCTTAAGATGAACATGGACAAAACAAAGATCATATTTAATGTCCACGTCACACCTATGCTAGTAGTTGTTTGGAGCACTAAGCTCAAAGTTGTTGACGAGTATGTTTACCTGGGACAAATAGTCCGACTAGGTAAGTCCAACTTCGACCGAGAGGTCAATCGACGGATTCAACTCGGTTGGGCAGCGTTCGGGAAATTACGGCACATCTTCTCGTCAGGTATACCTCAAAACTTGAAAACGAGACTGTACACCCAGTGCGTGTTGCCAGTGATGACCTTTGGAACTGAGACGTGGTCCTTCACTGCTGGCCGGATGAGGAAGCTCAAGGTTGCTCAGCGAGCTATGGAGAGGGCTATGCTCAGAGTTTCTCTGCGTGATAAACTTAGAAATGAGAATATCCGCAGTAGAACCGACGTAGCCCGACGGATTAGTAAGCTGAAGTGGCAATGGGCCGGCCATGTAGGTCGAAGAACCGACAACCGATGGGCTGCTGGCCCATCTGTACTGGAGACATATTAATACAAGTGCAGCGTGACTACATCGTAATAACATGTTGAAGTATTAGGTAGGTAGGTATGCGAAGCCTGCAAAGGAAAACAGCAAATAAATAATACCGTCCAACTAGCAGTATCAGCAGCCGCGTTTGGGTTTTTCTTTGTCGGATCATAACAAAAAAATGTTTATGCTGTTGTGAGATGTAAAATAAAACGCGAAAACTAAGTATTTAATCAAAAAAATCATAATGGATTTTGCACAGTTATAGCAGGTTTTTATTTTTGGCATTCCTTTAGATCACTTCAATTTTTAGGTACTTTAGTACACGCTCCGTCTCTTTTGATTTAAGTCAGTTGATTTGATGTTAAATATCTGTAGATGAGTGTTATTAAAATGATGGGTAACATAAAAGTTTCTTAACATGTTGGAAGTGTGTTCTTGTCTACCGTTGTCGACTAATGTCGACGTTCAATCGTGATATTAAAATCGCTGCCATCTGTCATTTTACCCGGTGATAGAAATTATTTTCTAACTGAGTTCATAGAGCGAGAAGATTTTTCTTATACGAGGGCGGCACTGAAAATTTCGGGAATCAAGGAAGTGACACAACATTACTATTTAAAAATGTATTTATTGCTTTTCGAAGTATTCTCCGCGAAATTCGACACATTTTTCCATACGATGGAACCAATCATTGAAGCAACCATTCCATTCGGAAGTTGGGGTCTCCAAAATGGCCGTTTTGTAGGCGTCCACAGCTTCTTCAGGTGATGAAAATCTCTGTCCACGCAATTTATTCTTTATTTTAGGGAAAATATAGAAATCATTAGGGCTTAGGTCGGGGCTGTACGGCGGATGGTCTAATAATTCCATGTTTTCTTGCTCTAAAAACTCTTTTGTTCTGTGTGCGGTGTGAGAACTCGCATTGTCGTGATGGAGGATGATGCGGCGGTTGCAGTTCTCTTTACGGAGTTCAGAAACGACCTGTGGCAAACAAATGCTAGTATAC